TTAATCATAACTTTTCCCCCTTTTCTTCCCTGATTTAGGTAGATGGAATTCTGCACGTGCACGCACATGTGCGCGCGCGCACACACACACACACAGCAGTTACAATCCAGCTTTCTGATGAGACTTCGTTAGTCTTTTCTTTCTCATCATCCTGAATTCAGTAGTCATTTACTGACATCTGTGAGCTCTTCAAGAGTAGGGTGTACATTAGTCATTTTTGTGTTTCTAGCAGTCAACACATTTGCCTGATGCTCAATAAATGTTTATTGAATGAATTAACGAATAAATGTAATGAATGTAAACTTGGAGTAACAAACTCTAAATATCCTCTACTTCATCATAAGTTTTCAAGGAGTAAGTTTTTTCTTGCAGTAATGTCCTAACTTGCTCTTTCATCTGAAAAACTATGACAGTACTCTTCTCACCTTCTGAGTGGTGCCTCACTTATAGCCCAAGTTGCTTCTTGCTTGTTTCCTATGAACCCCTCTCAGTAACAGTCTACATGTCACACATGCCACCATTCACCACCCTTCCTCTCAAGATTGACTTGACACTGGTACTTAATACACGTTCCTGTGATGTCTGGACTGTCCAGAATTCTTTTCTAAACTGAGAATCCTTTTTAGAAAGGCGAAGTAATGGAGTTGACATTCAAGTGTAGTAATTTGCCGTCCTGGGCATAGTACTTAAAGAGCGTACATTTGGATCCATAAACGCACAATGGCAGATCCTGGCTCTGCCATTTACTGCCTTTGCTATTTGGTCTTTCTCAGATTCAGTGACCTCTGTGAAAATGTAATGTCTCTCACAGAAGGTCAAGGTGAGCATTGAATGAGATAAGGTATGCAAAGATCTTAGGACAGAGAAAGATGCTTGAGTGCTCATTAAATAGTAGTTATTACCCAAATGGACTCTTTCATTTTCTGTGTATTGCCCCAATCTCCTGACTGGAAGTATAGTTACATTCATAGCGCTTTCTTTCTTTAATGTACTGATTCTTTAAGGGGTGAGGGGACAGCAAAGAATAAAGATGACCTCTTTGGAGAAAGGGAGAAAGTAAGAATCATATTCTAAGTGGGCATGGCATGATGTTTCATCATATATTTGCAAAGTTGTGGTAATACATAGCCAACAAAATCCTAAGGTTTTTATGCTTTTTTAAATAAAAATTTTAAATTCAAGTTTAATAATATTAAGTACCTATAAGATTGAATCATGTAATGAGTCACTTCAATTTTTGACAAGGTTCTTAGTTCAAAGCCCTTAGATACTTCCTGTAATCAAAACCCATTTTCAAATTCACAGGAAGATATTATCTAATGATCCACTTAATCTTTTCATGTTCTTAATTTGGGGTCAGTTTCAGTGGCCTGTCTCACATCATCTGTCATTTTTGTGATTGAAACGTCACTTCACATTACAGTTTTCATTGGGACAGTTCTCATCTTTAGTTTCAATTCAATTTAATTCAAATCAAATTCATATGTCTCAGGACAATTGAATTCACTTAAAATCCCCTCTGTTCAGATAAGATTGTAACCACTACTCCCGCTGATGCCACTGAACTTCCTGATACCTTCTAAATGCCTGGTGCTGCCTGGGAGGCCACTGAATCTGATAATAAGGTCACTGCTGCTTTTGCTCACTGAATTGGGCCAAGTGCCAGCCCTAGAACCAGCCAGGCCAGCCTTACGACCGCCCGTGCGGAACCACCATTGCTGTCTCCGGCATATTCCTCTTGGATCAATGCTTTTTTAAACTATAGAAAAATACTTTCATACACCTCATTTAGCAGAAATCTTGACTGAGAAACAGCTTAGATTATAAGAATTTGGAAAGGTGTTGCGATTGCTTATTTTGCTTGGTTTGGTTGGTTGAATTTTTCCAGTCTTCTTCCCACTGGACAATAAAAAGGGTGAAGTCAGAGCACAGTTCACCTATGCCATACTCAAAATTCCCTTCTCCTGAAACAACTGGACTACTTTCCTGACGCTTGACTTATATACCTGATTTACCCTAGAAGTTTGTTTTGAAGAAGCTTCTCTCACAAAACCCTGGTAGTGATGATTCCACCATTCCACCAGACATGTTGAAACTCCTTTATCCCATCATCTATGGATAGCAGACCAAAAGTATTCTGGGGCCTTAGTGGCCCTGCCCAGAGTAGGAAAACAAAGGATACAAGAACCAGACAATATCAGGGCCCAGAAAACTTACTCAGCTAAAGAAGGGAGAGACCAGTAAACTACTCCACAATATTCCTGGGGGCTGAGCTCTATTCCAGCTAATTATGTGGGAGGAAACACCACGTGAGCAAAGCCTAATATGCAGGTCAGATCGGAACTGGACTATGATCTGGCCATTGGTAACATGGCCTCTGCTAGTGGCATCGCTGAGTATGGAGACCGGTAAAAGATTGGCTGAGGTCATGGCCCAGCCCTCTAACTAGGCCTCACAAAAGGCCATAACAAACCAGACATAGAGGTGGTCCCTATGGCTGGGCACTTTGGGAGAGCTCTACCCAAAGCAGTTTGAATGGACTGCTAACATGGAGAGGTACAACTAAGGTCAGAACAGGGAAGAATAGGGTTGTACATAGAACTGAGGGGGCAGATGAGACACACATGCACATCACTAGCCAGAGGACTCAAGAGAAATGGAATAAGAAGGTAGGAACCCATAAGTGGGATATGGCACCTGCTGCGTGGTACTGAATCGGACTAGAGTTTCTTACTCAGAGTTACATCATCTGACTAGATTTAGAGTGCCTAGACACCCAAGGCAGAAACTCAGATATATAGACTAGACTTACAGAGTTAGTTTAGGAATTACGTAATCATTAAAACTTAGACTTTGAAGTTAGAAGTCTTGAGTTCGAATCCCAGCTCTGGCACTTAGTAGCAGTGTGGCTTTGGGCAAATTAATCTCTTTACATCTGTGAACTGACAATAAAGAACCTTATAGGGTTATTTTAAGGATTTGAAAAGTTTATTTGCTAGTGCCTGACACACAATTGGTACTCAAAAGCTACAGAAATGTGTCACGTGGCCTAGTTGTCTAATTCTAGACTGCATTCTTTGGTAGGGCTGAGCCTGTTGACAGTTTGCCTTCCCTGATAAGGAAGGACTCAGGGACAGGCACTCTGGGCCTGTAGATTGGGGTCTCAAAGCCGAGGGAAGGGGTTCTGGGAAGCAGGGCCTGATGCAGGTGTTGGGTTGGGAAGTAAAATACAACTTTCCCAGAGCATCAACTGGTCCGGCAAAGTTGTATTTTAATCACAGTATAAGGTAAATATCCATTCACATTTTCCTCCAAGACTTAGAAAGGAACACCCCTTTCTTATGGATGTTCCCACATCCAGACACATTCTTCAAAGCCAAGGGTCACAGTCAGACATGGCTTTCCCTTTATAGTGTATGCTCTGGCTTATATTGCTTTCTCTATTAGCCTCACATGTGAACATGTTGTCTTTGACCTGTAGCCCATATATTCCAGTTTGAGAATGTTTGTGGCTCTCCTATAGTTTATTTGTATTTGTTTGTTTTTTCTGTGTCCGTGGAAGTGACTCCAGTTTTCTTTTTCTCTGTGACTGCAGCATTAGTACCCTTAATCTGTACTGGGAGGTACCCCGAGTTTAAGTTAAATGCTGTAGAACACAAAAGATCTTGCCACTCTAAGTCTAGGGTTCCATAAGCAAGAGTCTGTTCTTCACAGACTGTAAACAAGGAGTAGATGGTGCAGCACTCAGACCCCCTCACTCCTCCCCAGCCTTACCTGCTACTGTTCCACTCCCCACACCCAATTATGACAAAACTTCCAGTGCACCATATGCCCTTTCCTGCCTCTGTGTCTTTGCAAAGACTCTTTCCTCTGCCCAAAATGGCCTTCCTTCCTTCTCTCCCGATGGAATCTCCTTCAGCCTAAATGGCCCAGCTCGAGACTTCCCTTTCATTTCATTTGTTCGTTTGTTTTGTTCTGTTTTAGATTCCACATATAAATGAAACCATACAGTATTTGTCTTTCTCTGTCTGACTTATTTCACTTAGCATAACACTCTCTAGTTTCATCCATGTCGCAAGTGGCAAGATTTTATTCTTTTTTTATTGATGAGTAATGTTCCACTGTGTGTGTGTGTGTGTGTGTGTGTGTATCTCACATCTTCTTTATCCATTCATCTATCAATGGACACCTAGGTTGCTTCTATATTTTGGCTTTTGCAAATAATGCTACAGTGAACATAGGGGTGCATATATCTTTTTGAATTTGTGTTTTTGTCCTCTTCGGATAAATACCCAGAAATGGAATTGCTGAGTCATATGGTAGATCTATTTTTAGTTTTTTGAAGAATCTCCATACTGGTGTCCATAGTGGTTGTATCAATTTGCAATCCCACTAAAAGTGCACAAGAGTTCCCTTTTCTTCACATCCTTGCCAACACATGTTATTGGTTGACTTTTGTTAATAGCCATCTCACGGGTGTGAGGCGGTATCTCATGTGGTTTTGATTTACATTTCCCTGCAAAACAAAAACAGTCTCATAGAAACAGAGATCAAACTGATGATTGTCAGAGGGAAGGGGGAAAGGAGGATGGATGGAAAAGCTGAAAAAAAATATAGTCAATAATATTGTGATAAGTTTTCATAGTGATGAATGATTACTAGACTTAGTGTGGTGATCACATTGTAAGGTATATAAATGTTGAATCACTATATTGTACACCCAAAACTAATATAATATTATATACCAACTATACTTAAATTTTAAAAGTTTTTAAGTTTATTCCTCCCTCCTCTTAACTCCTACACATTTTAATGCACACATCCGTTATTCAACTTCTTATGTTTTAATTTTTCCCTCTGTGAAACCCTTAAAAGCAGGGTGTATGTCTTACTCATGGAACTGTATCCTCAGAAGCCATCACAGTGCCTGGCACTTGTTTGGTACATTAAAAATATATGGATGAAAACCAAAGTGTTCTTTTTGTTTCTCCTTCCTACAGAAACGATGACTATGGGTAAGAGGACTTCTTTGCCAAGGATACAGTAGGACAACCATCTTACAAAGATCTTAATAACTTCCTACCCAACAACACCCAGACGACTCCAGTGACCAAATACTCAGCTGTAACCGCAGCAATAACTGGCCCTCTTTCCAGACTGGGTTTGGTGAACTTGTAACGTCCAGCTGTCTTCAGGTGGCCTAAGATGGTGCTGTAGGGGAAGCACGTCTCAATGGCCAGGAAGCAAGATCAGACTGTGGAAGAAACCGACTGATACAGTGAGAGTACTAAGAATACCTAGCGTACCAGGACTCTTGGTGATTAACATAAAGCCCTTGGCGATGGGGTCGCAGCACCTGCCGTCACGCCGGCAACATCACGCCGACGTGATGTTATTTGCTTTGAATGCCCTGGAAGGACAGAATATTTTAAAATATATCCAGGTGCTAAATAGGCAGCAGATCTAATTCATACTAGACTACCTTTGAGCTAATAACTGTCTCCAGAAAATAATTTCACCCAAGAAGTGCTCCAGCTTTGTAAGGAATAGCCCCAGGAGAGCAATATTCCCCTGGAGAAAATCTAGCGCAAGGAGGGCTAGTTCACAGCAAATTCACTGCCCCCTCCCATGCACATGGCAGCGAGTACCAGTTGGACTTAGCCCTCTCTTCTGCTAAACCCAGCTCCTGAGAAGTCAGGAGCCTCAACACTGTTTTCTAGATAGCCAAAAGCCACTTTCTTTCACCTGGTGTTAGCATTAGAATGAACATTAAATGTCATCCCCTTTAGAGAGGCATACATCTCAATGGTGTAAGCATTCTGAAATAGCCCCTTCCCCAGGCACATTTCTCCACTGAGGGAGCAGCCTCAGAAATAGATGTACCATTGTGTGAGCTGTGTTCATGAGAGAGAACACAGCTGTTCCCTGAATGAAGGCACGCAGGACTTTTGAGCCTTCCTGGCCTGAGTGCCTTCTGGGGTATTTCCATATGCAACGACCCAGAGGCATCGCCTCGGGTAGCCACAGACAGGTTTCCTTTTCACTTCCAGAAACATACATCACTCTCACAGCACTTGGGGAATGGAAATACCTACAAGAGTGAAGGTCAAGGGCTCTCCCCGGGTATCTCATTCATTACTCAGCTTCCTTTGTGACCATATCAGCCAAGCCACTGCCAGCTGTATTTCTCATCCTCATTGCTTCTGCCTCCATATAAATGAAACCAAAGGCCTCAGCATACCATGGGAAGGGGCTGTTACCTAGTGGTCCTCTCTCTCCCATGATGGATACAAAGTACCCTATCCACACATTTTCACCACTTCTCCAAGATAACATTTCCCTTTTCATACAATCCCTTTGCAGCAATATCCAGAGTTGGATGTAGTTTACCTTCCTAGGAAGCTCATTATCTTCATTTGAATTAACATTTCAATGTAGGACTCACTGGGTGGAAGCAGGATGATTGCAAATCTTCAGCAAGTTCTTGTTGCCACAGCTGTCTGGTATAAGAAACTACCCCGATACCAAATCTCAAAAAGATGGAGGCCATTGGTTGTGTGAGGCAGTGTTACTACACTCCAGCTTCATGTGTTCCTCAGCCTGCCTAATTCATTTTCATCTCTAATTGGCTTTCAGTCTCCAGGATCCAAAAGGAACCCGAGGTTCTGCCTATGCTTGATGACATGAGAAGAATACAACTTCTTTACCCAAGGTTCCTCTATGCCTATTCCTCCCCATTCAGGCATCCTCCATACACCATACCAGTGTTTAGGACCAAAGCATAAAAGACTAGTGCCAGCAGGATAGTCAGCAGAAATATTATCTCCAGAGCTAGGCAGACGAGCCCAGAAGAATTGATCCCAGAGAAACCAGACTGGCCCCAACAGATATCAGGCAACCATCCCAATAAACTTTGACATATCCATGGCACTGGAAGCGTGGATAGGAGATCCTGCGGCAGCTGTGCCTGTTGTTCCCCTCCCCGAAGATCTTTCTGCCCAGAAACCTAGCAGCCCTGGGGTATTAATGAGTATGCTACTGGTTTGTTGGTATGAAACAGAAGGTGGCTTTCTAGGGTCCAGCAGGTAAAAAAGCCTACCCACATGGCAGGCAGGGGGCTTCATGTCTGGAAAGCTTTGCCTAGCTGGTCCAGCTGTGGCCAGAGGCCAGTTATAAATTCAAACTCCCAGAGCCCATCTGTAACTCTGTCTCTGTTCTCTTGCATTGTTTGGTTTCTCTTTAGTTTCCTAGTAAATGTTCCTTTTGAAAATTCCAACCTTGTCTCATTGAACTTGGGGGGAAAGGTATCCAGCATGTATTCAGATAGAGAAGGAAATTAAAGTACCTTGAAAAAATGGAAATGGCAGTGGAAAGGGAAACACTGCCAGGCACTGGTGAGATCTTAGGAAGAGGCCTTGAGGAAAGCTGTCTCCCCCATCCACCTGACCCTGATATCTCAGCCCTTTCTTGCTGCCCTTGTCTTCAAGGAGATCTGCCGGATCAGCGGTGCTGCAAAAGCATCTTCCCAGCCAGTGAACTGAACACATTCAGCAGGCGATGTGATCTCCAGGGAAGTACACTGGTGCATGACCAGAGGAGGAATGGGGGAGGGGAGGGAAAGCAGTGGTTCCTATAATTTGGATGTTTTCAAAATGCTGCAACAATCATGACTAAATGGAAAGATTTAATCCTCAGGGTCATCGATAGAACTACATTTCATGTGAAGAGAATAAAGTCACACTCTCATCCTTAAGCCAAAGAGACTGACAAAAGGTTTATATGGAAAACATCTTGCTATCTCATGGTCTGTTCTGTGATAGTGGGAGTTCCAGTCTTCTTTTGCTGCATAACAAAACACTACAAGCCTAGCAGTTTACATAGGAAGTTATTATCTCTCCTGATTATGTGGGTTGGCTGGGCTTGGCTGATTGCTGTCTCTTGGAGTCTCATGGTTGCTGCCAGGTGGCAGCTGAATTTTGTATCCTCTAAGTGCCTCACCAGGTGGGATATTCATGATGGATTTTTTAATACACATTCTGGCTTCTCCACTGGGATGACTAGAACAGCTGGAGGCTGGTTGGGCATCTCTCTCCACATAGTATCTTCACGTGGTTAGCTGTGCTTCCTCACAACATGGAGGTCTCGAGGTAGTTAGACTTCTTATATAGTGGCTGCCTTCCCCCAGAGCTAACATTGCAAGAGGTCCCAGTAGATGCTGCAAGGTTTTTCTAAGTACCCTCTGAAGTTAGAGTCATTTCCACCACACACTATTGGTCAAGAGCAAACCATAGGGCCAACCTAGATTCAAGGGAAAGGTATTACGCAAGAATGAAATAGAAGAAGGTGTAGTTCATTGGAGCCACTTTGGAGATAGTGGGATGGGAGTTGGGAAGGGATGTCACTGAATCAGAGAGCTTCCTAGCCAGCTGTCACTTTAAGAGCACATGGAATATTTAACATGCACAAGAGTAGAGTGAGGGGGCAAGTAATAAGAGCCAGAGGAGAGAAGAAAGACTCTCCATGGATACTTAAATAGAGCATGAGCTAAAGAAAGGCAACTAGTTATGAGTGAGACAGAGCTTACAATGTCACAGGAAACCCTGGAGGAAAAACATGATTGTTGTTTTTCTAATGACTGCTCAAAGACATTAGTTGGATGCTTCCCCCCACCACCTCTGAGTCAAAGTTAAGGTGCACACAAGACACTCCCATGCTTGAAAATATACTTAGAGGTGAAAATGCTAGGTATGCCAAATAGAGGTTGTCTGTCCGTTTTCTGAAGACTTCAGAAAGAATTATTGCAGCTAATTAAGAGAGAGGGATTTTATGAAATCTAGCTTAAATGAGGTTAACTCTGCCAGTTGTCCCCTCTCATGAGGTCCCCACATCACTAGTGTTGCCATGGTGCCTTCTCCTGTCGCCCCTCCCTCTCAGCAGTCCTGCTGTATGGAATAGTCAGGGACCAGTCTACTTATCTTCCTTCCGCCCTGGCCTCCATCTAACTTAGCCACCTTGCTAGAACTTTCAAACCAAAGTTATAGAAAGTGATTTAATAAACTGAGAAAAGGACATAAAACATAAGTGCGCATGTGGCCGAAAACAATGTCTGCAATCTGTATGTGGATCCTGAGAATCCTGCAGGCCATTCAACTGCCCAAGGCCACTGAGGGCTATTGGGAGTGTCCATCCTGGAGGTGCCCTGGAATTGTCACCCACACTCAGGCCAGAGAGATTGGCCTCACCTGTTGCTTTACTGACTGATTTTAGAGCCCTGCAGAATATCTCTTACGCGCAGGATTCCCGAGTTGGTTGTTGATGCAGAGCACAACCAGAGGTTAAGGGCGGCCAGTGAGACCTCCCTGAAACTCAGGTTTTCTCACTGATGGGCCTTCTGAGTCTCCCCACTCCAAGTCTCTCTTCCAGCCAAAGAGAGGTGATACCCCTGAATATCTCTTAACAGTCACTTGTGGCTTCTTCCCTAGCCACACACCTCGTGATGCCCACTGTAAAAGTGCTGCTTGACACCTTATCTTCTAAGACAGATAAGCCACGGGCAGTACTCAAAGAATTCTAATGTGCCTCTGAGATGCCCTTTCTGGAGAAGAGACCCAGATGAGTGGGGCCCTTTGCTATGCAACACATTGTTTATCCAACTTCATATGAAATAGGCTGACTTTCAGGAAAGAAGTGAAATAGTAAAGTGAAGGAAAAGAAAATATGTAGGAAGAAAAATTGCCTCACCAACTGAGGAAGTATCCCAGGGAAAACCTGTAGAACAACTCCAAGGAAAACAGGAAAAGAGAGCGTTGGCTAATATTCCAGGAGCTGCAGGAAGTAAGCCCTGGTCCTCATCTCTAAATCCAGATGTGAGGCAAACAGAAGCTCTGTGCAGTTCCATGGACCTGCCTTCAGTGTTGATGATGTCAAATATAAAGCTCCCTTTGCTCAGTCTCCCAGGAAATTAGAGCAACCCTCTCCAAGGACTACCTCTTCCTCTTCCATTCAAAAGGCTTACTTGTCACTTGGCTCCTTGGGCATATGGGCTGCAAAATGAAACCAGCAGCATAATCATCTCTGTCTCTTCACTCCTTGGTATCTTCTTACTGTGTCCAGAAGTTCTAGGCCTGGGCACAACTAAGAACCAAGATTGAAGATGGCTCCTAAGGCCTCAGGATCGGGAGCCAGCCTGAAGTCCAACCACCTGGCTAAGCCTCAGTGACATCAGGGTCCTCCAGCTCATCTGCAGGCCAGCTGATGTACCTCCTCCTGGTAGATAAGAGAAGAACAGACCAAAGGGACCTGGGTCACAGAGGCTGTCTCCTTAAGTCATTGCGACCTCCTCTTAAAACTTGATAGTAAGATAGATTTCTCTGTGAAGGCTGGGTAGGCATTGCCTGACGGTTAAAACTACATTTATCAACATGTAGGTTATTGATTATAAACAACACTGCATCTTATAGTTTCTAATGCATGGTATCATTTTTAGCCATTTTATTTATTTATTTTTTTAATACAACTTGTGATTCCAAACAGTAAAGTAAGAAAAAAAGTTAATATCTTCTTGGCTCAGTACTAAATTCCTTATAGTTATGATTCCAGTAAGTATCCTTTGCATTAAAGCTATTTTCAAACCAGCATTTCACGTAGTAATATTCATGGTGTTTCCTATCAAGTGAACATCTCCAAGATAGTGACATTTTCACAATTTAGATAAAATTCTTTTTGCATGGTGAAAATATCCAGATTTGAATTTATCAAAGGCAATTTCTCTAATTCATCAAACTCAAAGTTTCAGATAATATAAAATAATTTCTTCAAATACTTGAAGATACTTGTGTTCAGGGCTTTAAAGCCGAGCTTATGGACTATGTAAATTCATAAATAAACCTTCCAGAAACGAATTTTACCTTCATCCCGAAAAAGTAATGATTTTCATACGTATTTTCCCTCAAGGAATTTTGGAACTAAATTAAAATTTTAAGCCTAAAATAAAGCTTTCAAATGACCCTTACTTTAAAAGTGTACTAGATAAGAGCTCAATAAAACAAACAAACAAACAAAAAACATTGCCATGAACTATACATTTCTTATAGGAAAACCAATTGCATTATCCCTGCCTGTGTGTCTACAAAGTCAGATTGGAAATTTGCTGAGGGCTCACTGGGCCTGCTGGATCCGGCAAGGCTCAAGGACCTTTTCAGACAAACGGAAAATCTGCATTATGGGCCAACATATGGTCAATATTTTTAAACTGTGCTTTCTGGATGAAAAGTGTGAATACATAAAGGTTTTATTGAGAATAAGACCCAGGCAGTCCTGGGCCAAGCCCCTGGAGAGAATCAGGGTGTCTGAGCCACCATATAAAATGGAAGAAGAGCAGCTATATGCTATTTTCCAAACTAGAACTCAAAAGTACTTCAACCAAAGTAAATATCTTTCTAAAATATGTATTGGTTTTACTTTGTTCTCTGCAAAGTCAAGTGTTTCACTATCTTGAACAGCATTGATAGGTTTTGAAAGAATTGCATTTGTTTGAGTAAAACTAACAAGAAGACATTTAAACTTTGCCTTCTAGTGTTTTCCAAACTTGAAATCCATAGGAAGCTTCCTGGCTGACCTGCTATGGTGGATCCCAACCCTGACCAGTGCTGTTAACACCTGCCAGCCCTTTCCCAGCGCCTCCCTGGCCCAGCCAGACCGTGCTCACAGCAGTCCACTTAGCAGCTTCGACAAACCCTCTGGCGCTTCTGGGGAAAGAGAATGCCATTTTGGCAGCAACTACCACTTGGTTTTGGTGCTCCCCACTCTGAAAGGTGGTCCTTTTTCCCCGAAAAATTCAATGCAGGGGAGAATGAATCTCTGTCACCAAACAGAAGGATAACAAGGACAACCACTGTGTGTGTGTTCAGGAGGGGAAAACATCATCTAAAGGCAACCCACATGCAGTTCTTCATTATCTCTATGTTTTAAAGTTGATTGATCTTGAATTTTTAAAGTACATAAAGGTAGAATTTCAAAAGACATAAACAATGGACTCAAAGGAAGTCCAAGAGATTTTAAAGAGTTCCATAAAACCAAGAAAGTTTAGTAAAGTATTTAAGTGCTTATTACATCTGGTAGACCAAATATTGACATTTGGCTAAATGGGCTCCGTTATGTATGTCAATTTTCCCAATCCATGTAAAAATAAAAAATAGCTTTTGGAGATGCTTTCTTAAAGGACTATTCCTACGTGTGAAGCCTCAGTGGGGCCCACGACCCGTCAATGGGCCCTTT